AAAGTAAATGAAAATAAAAAAGGAAACGAAACAAATCCATAAACTCAACTAAATCCTCCTTTGTGTTTTTGACCTTGTTAGTGTGATTTGTATCAAGAAGCAGAGCAGAACGTAAAACTCACTGTATTCAGTTAATAGTTTGTGATTATTCGTTTGCATCCACAGATTCAGTAATGGCTTATTTAGATACTATGATGTTAATTACCCCCTAACTTTCGTTCACAAACTTTATTCACCTTCACTTCAACTGTTGTTGAAATTATATAGAGAGAGTGATATCAGCATAACAATTTGAATTTTAGGTTGGAACTCATCATGGACTAACATCAGTCAGAGAAACATTAGAAACTCTGGGGCACTAGCTTCGAGAGGTGACTCCCAAAGTTCCAATCAGAAGTCGTGACCAGTGGAGTTAATCAACTCGAACATGAAGACAGTTACTCAACGACGACACTGAATGTAGCTTACGCTATTTCATGAGCTGACAGAAGTAGGAAATGTGGACTACTGGATTCCGATCCAGTGGCTCAATGATAACGTGCTGACCACGGAACCCGAAGGTCCTGGAGGTGGGGTCATGGGTGCCCACCGCCGAGAGGTCCCGTACTAGGATAAAGCAGCTGACCAGTGCTCCCAGGTTTCCATTGTTCCTCCAAGTGATGTCATTCCATGGTGAATTCCAACCTAAAATCAATCAATAAACCTTCACAAAAATTCCAGATAAAATAACAATTTGAAGTCTAAATATCACTGGAATCCAATGAGCTTAGTGAACTGTCTCAGAGCTGCTATGTTGAATTTCAGCATAATGTTTGCGAAACTTACAATTTTCACATTTACTCATCCACAAAAATTAAACATACACTTAGCAGAAATACTGATTAAAAAAGTCTACTGAGATTACAAAGTGCAGGGAACTTTATAACATCTAGTTTATGATAGTCTATTTCATTACGATTTCCCTCACACAAGAGGAATAGGTGAACACTTTTCCACGAAGAACAATTACACCTCTATTTGGACGTGTGAAAAGAGTTTCTAGACTACTTATTTAGAATATGTAATGACGTAGCTTAATCACACCAAGCAGTAGTTATCATTCAGAGTACTACTATGATCATTCAGCTTCTGCAAATACATTTTAAATTCAAAGTGATACATTAAATAAATGCCAGATTTATTATTTTTATGTAATATGAAAATCGAGTGGATTCGACTTGTCTAAAGTAATGTCTATGTACTTTGACATCAGTAGATCTAATGAACCTTATAAGTTTATCTTCATATGGATAAATGTGATTTTCTGAAGTAACTGTTTCTACATGACTCAAACAACGACCACTTGATGTTCGTCTAGCTTGAAATAAAAATAACGGCATTTAGTTAAACAGATTATTGATGTAAGATAGTGTTGGATGTATGTATATACCACTTGTCACTTTATTATTATTCAGGTTCCACCAAGAATATCATCCTGTATACCACTATTAACTTCGCTTTTTTCAAAATACAACAAATTTATAATAACCTTTGGCACAAAGTTAATATGAACTGTAATACATACTGCTTGCAAATACTGTAGAATTCACGTGACTACGTGACTACTATTACTTTTACATGCAGCCAACTCTCGCCATTTTGCAATCTTGTGTTAGGTTTTATACTGATGTTTATTGGCCTCTTCAATTTAAGTTACTGTTAATTAATTTATTTTCAGGATCCCTGTACAATGAATTATGCCGTAATTTTATATGCATGCATGGCCAATTAACTACATCATTCTTTATCTAGTGTAAAAGTGGGCTAGTTGCGTGAATTTAGTTGAACGATACTGATAATAGAAAAAGTTTAAAACAGTACTTTTATTTACGGTTTTCCAGTGAATTGACTGAATTTTGAGAGTAGCTATGAAAAGTTTTATGAGCCCTTTTCAGGAAGTAATGTGACGAAATATTTGTTGGATAGTGCAATTTTACACACATGTAATTCTTTGATAAACGAGTAAAATGGGTAATCTCTGCAAAAGAAAAAGTTGTGGAATTCATCGAGTTTTCACTAATCATAGCAAGTTAAGACTGTCGTCAAAAACATTGACAAAGACGCTATGGTTGGAAAAACTGTTGACGGTAAATTTTTTGTATACTTCATAAGTACTTCTAGATAATAGCCGTCAGTTTACAAGACTAAAATCTTCGTACTTCGGAATAAACCAAGAATTGCCATCGATTTTAAGCATTTAATCAGGAATTATTTAGTTGAATAAATAGTTTAATTATATAAATCTTTGTAGTTTGTAAACGATAACTTGTGCCTCACTAGAGACCATTAATATTAGCCTGTTAGGCCTTATCAGAGACGACTCAGCCAATTTGCATTTCGTTTACCATCTGGTAGGGAAGAGATCAACGCGGATGAAACCAATGAAAGATAGTGAAGGAAAGCTACTTACCAAAGAGGAGAAACAAAAGAAACAATGAGCCAACCACTTTAAAAAACTCTTCAATCGATCACCACCTGCAAATCGTTTACAAATACCACCAGCAGCCCAGCCACAGAACTATCGTTGGACACAAGCCCTCCGACAAAGGCAGAAGCGAAGTCCTGAATGCCATAAAGCTGCTGAAATCCGGGAAAGCAGCACGACCAGATAAAATTCCTCCAGAAGCACTGGAAAAAGACGCAGAGACAGCAGCGGACATGCTCACATCACTATTGCAGGAGGTTTGGAAGGAAGGAAAGATACCTGCTGCTCGACTGGAAGAAGGGATACCTTGTCAAACTACCAAAGTAGGATGACCTAAGCTAGATCTTTGCAGGAACTGGTGTAGAATTATGCTCCTTTCCACAGCAAGCAAAATATTAAGTCCCATCATACACCAGAGACTAAAACATGCTCTCCATTCAAAATTACGACCGGAACAGGCTGACTGGCTAGCTGGCTGGCTGGATTCAGGAAGAATAAATCCTGTGCGGACCAAATGGCAAAGCTACACTACGCATCATCATAGAACACAGTACAGAATGGCAGTCAACTCTCTACCTCAAATTCATCCACTTTGAAAAGGCGTTCGATAACGTCGACAGAGAAGTAATTCAGCAGGGAGCTGCTACAACACTACGGAGTATCACAAACCTCTATCAACCTCATTCAACAGCAGCTATTTGCTATATGATATTACATGCCAAGTGATTCACAGTGGAGAGCTCAGTGGTGCCTTTGAAGTGAAGGCAGGAGTAAGAAAAGGCTGCTGCCTACTATCACCCATCATCTTCCTGATTGTGATTGACTCGACTGGATCAGGCAGCAAACTGTCAGGAGTGAGTAGTGAGGAGTGAGAAGACGGGTATACGCTGTTTGACCGATGAAAAGAGTCTAGAAGATTTGGATTTCGCAGATGATGATTCATGTCTTATGTATTGTTGCACAAACACGAAGATCAACATGCGAAAACTAACAAGTTGATAGAAGAGGTGAGACAAGCCAGCGAAGACGGGACTTCCTTCAGATGAATGTGGAGAAGACAGAGGTGGTGAAGATGCCCCACCAGCAACAACAACAAGCACCAATCACCATGAACGGGAGGAACCTAAAGGAAGTTGACTCTTTCACCCACCTAGTTGGGCAGCATCGTTTCAACGAGAGACGGCGGCACAGGCACAGATGAGATCATCAAAACCAGGATCGGAAATACAGCAGGACAAGCCTTCATTAACCTGAAACCAGTGTGGAGATCTTCTGCACTCAGCACAAGGCGTGAACAACATCCGGATTTTCAACACTAATTCAGTCAAGTCAGTGCTTCTATGTGATGGCTCAGAAGCTTGGCGCGTCACAAAACGTACTTACAACAAAATACAGACATTCATCAACAACTACCGCCTACGCTCACTCCATACTGAAGATGGAGATCAGATGGCCACAATAATAAGAATAAGCAACAAGTAACTTACTCTGACAACGAATCATTCAACAACCTATCACTCGACGAATATGCAGAAGAAGGAAGTGGATATGGATTGGATTGGGTATACACTGAGAAGACGGATTGAGGACATCATGCACTAGGGCAGACCCTCGAGTGGAACCCAGATGGGAAACGACGAGTTTGGCGTCCGAGGCGTGGGTGACATGAAGGAGATCGTGAGAGGTGGAGATGAAAGCTTGTGGGTAGTCGTGGAGCGAGGTTCAAAAGATTTCAGAGAAGAGAGTAGAATGTAGGCGTGCTACTGGTGCCGTATAATCCACTAGGACTCAAGGGACAAATAATAATCATAAAGCTAATGGCTTGAGTGACGATTAGTTCTTCTTTCATTGGTATGAGTTTATAATTAGTGGTTACGCACAAAAAGCAAAGCAATTTTAACTTTTAAAGGATGAAGAATTAAAGTAAGAATTAATTCTGGATTGGTTATGGTTGAGGCATCACATATTAATGAATACAGGTTAAAGATCAACCAGTTTTATTTTGTAACAGTCAAGCAATAAGAATAAAAATTTATGCTTTTAATAGTGTGCAGAAACCAGTGTCTAATTTCATTATAGTGAGGTACTATTCTGGGCAGTGACGTAATTTACACACTAATAACCCGTCCATAACGTTTACAACAAGTAAAGCTCATCCTGACTAGCATGTGAACTCATCTGTATCAGATAGTTGAATAAAGGTAGAAATGCATGTGAATTCCCTCATTTCAGCATTTTATATTCAAAAGCTTTATAGGATTCAGCCTAGCAACTCAAATTCAAAATGTTTGTCACAAAATTTTAGCCTCATGTATTTCCAATGTATCCTGTAAGTTGCAGGTACAACATTTTTAAACACTTTACTGAGAATAAAGTAAAAGCTAGATGGTAACTGAAAAGTGTAGAGAAAATATAGACGCTTTTTAAAACGCAAACCGGTACAAATGTCATATGTTTTCATGAGATCAGCATGGAGACCAACATAAAACGAAAGTATCAATTAATTTCTAAAAACGAAGCAACTAAAATCGCTTACCAGTGTATTCTGGGAAACAAATAGTCAATGGAGAGTAAGAAATTTTCTGCTCAAACAAATCACGCTTGTTAAGGAATAGAAGCATACTAGTTTCAATAAACCAACTATTATTGCATATGGAATCAAAAAGTTTCATCGATTCAATCATTCGGTTCTAAAAAGATGACAAAAGATGAAACATGTTTACAGCACTTTGATCAAATAAGAAGAACAAAACATCATCATTTTCATCACTTTTAATGAAGTTTAACATCTTGTTTTCATCTATATTGGAATTATCAAAAGAATCATTTCAGAAGACCGTTATTTGAAAAGGCTCAATAATGTAAGAGTAAACCTTGAGCGCTGTAGTAGACTATAATTCCAAATTCTATTTTCAGTCAAAATAGCCAATCACAAAAGTTTAGCGAAATATACAATGTTAGACACTACTAAGATAAACGATTTAGAGAAAAACTCAGCTATCTCTCTGCTTTCACTAATTTATAATCACACTATATGGTGGGACGATTCTGAAATGCAATATACCTAGGTGGAGAGATTGGTAGACATGGGGACTAATACTCACCGATGATGTTAAGTGATGGCCGTGCTATCTCGTGAACTGACAGAAGTTAGATATATGGACCACTGGATTCAGACCCAGTAGCTCAATGGTAACGTGCTGGACGCGAAACCTGAAATTTTTGGTTGGATCCCTGATAGAGTCGTGGGTGCTGACTGCTATGAAGTCCCATGTTAGAACGAAACAGCTGTCCAGTGCTTACAAGTTTTCTAGTGTTCCTCCAACTGATGTCATCCTATGATGAATACCAACTTGAAAAATCAAAGGATTTTTGTTTATTGAATCAACACATCAACGCATTGCATATTACGGATTTCTGGAAACTTTTAATACCAATGAAACAAATGAATGAAGAATTGTTGGAAAACATCAAGGAAGTTTAAAAGTCGTATAATTATTTTGATATGAATATGAGTAACAAATTCTGTTCAAAATGTCATACAGTTAATAATACTGTATCACTATGTGCCATATCAAATAAATAATCTAACATTGAATTGAAAAAACTCAGTTCATTTGTGTCATTATCACTACTTCTGTAACGTAAAATAGTTCGTTTGAACTTTGATCAAAATCTTAGCGAATAGTGTGGCAACTACTGGGCTTTGAGTAAAAAGTCGACATCAGATATAATTCACACTTGTATAAGCCATAATGTGTTTGAAACAAAACAAATCCAACGTTTCTTAAGGAAGTCTGTTCTGATCTTCTTTGGAGAAATAATCAAAAGATAGAAACGTCAAAGATATATTGCTGATTTCGAAGACGTGTACTGAATCTTATTGTCCAATTCTCTTCGTATAGTCACTGTTTTTCCAAAACATGATCAGTGATCATTCAGTTTGAAACCGTATGTTTCTTGGTGTATGATATTTGTGTCTTGCTATTCATGTTATCCTCGACTGTTTGGATCAAACAATACACGACTGTGTTACAGTTACCTAAAGAAGTTAGTAATTCTTTCAAACGTCCATCTTTTAAATTCGAATTCTGGCTTAACAGGCAGCCAGTGAACTTCCGTTTTCTTTTTATAGGATTTGCAACTACATGAAAACACATCTATAGCTTTAAACAGATATATGAAATTTATTCCAACATGTTAACTTTTATTTGCAAGCCACTGGGTTTTTCAGATACTGCAACTCATGACTGATTGATAAGGTTAGATGTTAGACACTAAAATTATTTTATTTTGATGTCAAAACGCCGGTTGCACATATCTACAACTCCAAATATATAGTGGCTATGTATATCCTACCACAACAATAGTGATAAAATGTAGTCATTATATGGATTTAAAATGTAAGACAACAGAATTATTTCAAAATTACATTTCTAAAAACAATTAAAAAAAAAGACTGTTTAGAGCACACTATAACGAAATATTGTACAAGTCTAGAAAAACTTTGAATAATATGACAATATAGATGGTTCCGCTGAACCATACGCTGATAATGAAACATTCTCTTCTCATCATTAAATTATGTGATATCATGACCAATTATGATATCAAGATGTATGACTTTTTTGACATGTACTTTATAAGTGAAATTCTACAATTTTCAGGGTGGCTGATAGATTGACACCACTTGAGAAATAATCATAGAAGTATATCAGACAAACTGTTATCAGTCTATTTGATTTTATCAAATAGTTTAAAAACCTCGCCTGGTTAACTAGTTCACTAGTTACTAGTCGATCCTGAGCCTGGGTAAAGAGGGAAGGTTGGGCATAGGGCTAGCAACCCCAGAAACCCATAAAACAAATCCAATCGCTAAACAAACTTCAAAGCACAAACAAAATATAAAAATCAAAACAAACTTATTCCTCACTGGAATCGGAGGGAGAAAATGACGCCAGTTGGTGAAAGCCTTCGGAAAGCCGATTGGCCGATGTGTCTCTCTTCTCTCGATGAAAACGAAAGTAAACGTGGGGACATAGAATGTCCACACGATGTTTGAACCCAGCAAGGCAGCCCAGATTGCAAACGAGATGAGAAGGTATCACATTGAAGTGCTTGGAATTTGCGAAAGCAGATGGAATGGAAGTGGAATGTCCAAACTTTTAATCAGAGAATCAATTATCTACTCCGATATTTCCACCCAGACGACAACCTCGAGCACACTGAGTTTTCGAGTGGCTATCATGATGTCCTCAAGAGCATTGAAGGATCTAATGCAGTGGGGACCAATCTCTTCCAGCATCGGGATCATAACAGCAAGATTCAACTCAAAAGGAAGGAAGGAAGGAAGGTCACAATCATACAAGGCTACACTACGCTATGCACCTACAAATAATGCAGATGAAGAGAAGAATGAGGAATTCTACAGATCACTGCAATCAGCACTGGACAAGACTCCAGTTGGTGACAACTAAATTCTAATGGGTGGGGTGACATGAGTGCCAAACTGCGTGGAGTGGACAACACATGAAGAGAACAAACCATGGGTTGAGAAGCGTTAGGTGAAATGAACAAGAATGGAGAATTGTTTGCAGAATTCTGTGCATTCAACGACTTGGTGATTGGAGTGAGGCAGTGTGTTCAAGCACAAGGATATTCACAAAGCGACATTGACTTCGCCAGATTTTTATTATTATTATTTCTTTATTTATTTGTCTCTTGGGTTCCTAATGGAGCGTAGGGCGTCAGTAGGACGTCTCCATTTCACTCTGTCCTCTGAAATCTTTTGAACCTCGCTCCACGACTACCCACAAGCTTTCATCTCCTCCTCTCACGATCTCCTCCATGTCACCCTCGCCTCGGACGCCAAACTCGTCGTTTCCCATCTGGGTTCTACTTGAGGGTCTGCCCTAGTGCATGATGTCCTCAATCCGTCTTCTCAGTGTATACCCAATCCAATCCATATCCACTTCCTTCTTCTGCATATTTGTTCAGCGATAGGTTCTTGGTTGGTTCGTTCCCAGAGTTCCTTGTTGCTTATTATTTCTGGCAATCCATCTGATCTTCAGTAACGAGCGTAGGCGGAAGCTGTTGATGAATGTCTGTAGTTTGTTGGAAATCCCCTTCGTAACACGCCAAGTCTCCGAACCATACAGCAGGACTGACTTGACTAGGTTGGTGTTGAAAATCCGGATCTTGTTACACATGTTGAGCTGAGTGTAGAAGATCTCCACACTGGTTTCAGGTTAAGCAACGCCTGTCTTGCTTTTCCGATCCTGGCTGGCTTTGACGTCCTCATCTGTGTTGCCTGTAGTTGAAACAGTATTGCCTAGATAGGTGTAGGTGAAAGAGGCTACTTCCTTTGATTTTCTCCCCTTCATGGTGATTGAATTTTGTTGTTGTTGTTGTTGTTGCTGGTTGGGTATCTTTATCACCTCTGTCTTGAAGTCCCGTCTTCGCTGCACTGCCTCTTCTGTCAACTTGTTAGTTTTCATCTGTAGATCTTCAAGTTTGTGCGACATCAGACACAAGTCATCGGCGAAATCCAAATCTTCTAGGTTCTTTTCCGCCGTCCAGCTTATCCCCATCTTCTCGCTCCTCACTGTTTGTTGCATGATCAGGGCAGGGCAGGCCCTCGAGTGGATCCCAAATGGGAAACGACGAGTTGGGCGTCCGAGGTGAGGTTGACATGGAAGAGATCATGTGAAGAAGAAATGAAAGCTTGTGGGTAGTCTTGGAGCGAGGTTCAAAAGACTGCAGAGAAGAGAGTGAAATGGAGGCGTGCTACTGATGCTCTATGTTCCATTGGGAACACAAGAGTAAAATTATATGTTAATAATAATAAATGTATTTTAAAATGATTTTAATGTTATTCGGAGACTTTAATCTGATTCCTACCGTATCAATTACCTGTAGTTCAATCCTTGGAGTTACGAAGAGAGCACTCAATCAATAATCTGATGAGAACTCGTTTGTTTGTTTGTTTATACGCATTATAAGGTATCCTTGTTCAAAAGAAGCAATAGAAGACCGAATACCACCTCACACTAAGATTGACTTAAGGTCAGATTCAACAACTGAGCTTGTTTCGTGAATTTGGTATTGAAATATGCGGACTCTTTTGTCAGTTGATTTACTGTCATTGTTAATATTACTTTGATTTTTCTGTCAAGACTGTTATTGTCATTTTTATAACAAGAATTAACAGTTTATATTTTTATTAGACTGTCTTTCTGTGTTTGTGTGTGTGATGAAAATTGGTTACGCTGTTGTGCTATGAATAAGATTGATTTTATGATTAGGTTGAACCACAATCACACCTTCAGAATTCTGACTAAAAGAAAATCAATGAAACGATTTCAGAATTATTTATTATTCTAAATCTGTCTCATATGAATGTAGGTGATGACCAATAACTTGCCTACTTCTAATACAGTTTTTTGAAATGAGTTCCAATGAAACTTCTGTTCACTTCAGATTTCCGAGATATGGCTCAGTCGTTTGAGGAGATGAGTATCAACTAGTGGGTCATGGGTCACGTTTATTTTTCAGTCTAGGACACGACAGCCAATGAAATTCGCTTTGTAATAAACAGACCGTTATATGTACTAAAATAAAACCACTTCGGCACTTTTTTTACCAATAAAAAGACTGAAACTATTTTTCAACCCACTAGGAAAAGAAATCAACAAAAATATCTTGACTTTGTAATGCATACCGATTTACGGTGTATAGCCCTTTGATTCACTGTTACGATGCTACTTATGAATAAATCCCTTTTGCTTCGGAGAGGTATATTTCTTAGCGAGTAACGATTAGTATGAACGATGAGATTCAAGCATCCTTATATGCAAATAAGTGAATAGGTAGTTCAGAATACACAACCACTGAGTCAAGTTCATTCTTACCAGCTAAGATCATTAGGTTAAGAAGAGTTGACGATGAAAGTGGACAACTAAATTAGGACTGTGTGACATTGCTATGAGATAAATTCTTGTTTGAAAACAAACAAGCTGAAAATCCTTCTTTGACATGAAACTCGATTCTTTTTGTTGTTCCCGAAATGTATTACATAACACACACTAGTGTTCTGTTCGATGTCCTTAGGACAATTTTTAAGAGTTGCCAAAAGAAAAATTAAAGTAGTAAGATTCCACAGAAAGCCTGTTAGCAGTACTGTATGTCGCGTTCGTGTTGTAAGGTCAAACAATACATTGGAATAACATTTGGTAATTCGAAACAATACGCTAAATTATTGTTTAACTAAGCGAGCATATCAAATTCCATATGCAGACGTAACGTAGAAAGGTTACGTCAAATGAAAAAATGACAACATTTGAAAAGAAAACCGTTTGGCGCCTAGATTCTTAGTGAGATGACCTCACTAAACAACTATCTAAATTCTGAAAGCTAAAAGAGTTTTAATTTACATCATGATTGTCTTAGTTTGCTTCAGTTCACTCTTTTTTAATGGAACTCTTAAGTAATCTACCTATCCTTACTTGAATCTGTGGCATTTTTTGATTGAATGTCTGTGCGAATACCACTTTTGAATATGTAGATAGACAAAGTTAAACAGGCCAACTTAAAGGCTACCAGACGCCGCCAACATGACTGCAATTTGCAGATTTCTTGTTTGGGAATCGCCATTATATTTTGAGACACAGACGTGCTACAGGGGTACTACTACTACAGACCTACTAATAAATTCCGCATCAGGGACCCAATGGTAGAGCGTTCATCGACACATACGTAGAGTTTGACTGTAGCATTTGCAAAATAGAATAAACCTCTCAATAAGTCTAGTACTCAACATTTCAATGGTGCCCTCAGATATTTTGAATACAAGATACTTTTATATCAACGGTAATCTTTTCATATGAATAACTCACAGTTGTCTGATCTTCAGCCAAACCAAGATCATATTCACTTAGTGCAACAACGAATATAATCGCCGTTACATCCTGAAAGCAATGAATCCATTTTTTACGTTCCGATCTCTGTCCACCCACGTCCACTAGCCTATATTTATTGAATGTAGAAAATATTTGATGAAATGGCTTGTTTTTATGGCAGAGGAACATGAAACAACTAACAATTTATAATTTAATCGATTCATAACCTTTCATTCACATCAAGACAAACCTAACCAGGTTTTGAGTATTAACTATGTGTTGACCGGAATAAACAGATATTTAAAATATATTTTTTTGCACTTTTCAGTTTCACCGTAAGGACAATCATAAGAAAAATATGTGATTAATTTTATCCCTTATTATTTGAAAGTTGTGAATGATAAATGATCTGTTACCTTCCATACTGTTCTTGACTTTTTATCGATCTACAAATTTCCACTTCTAAAATTAATACAGCCTGTAACACTTAGGTACATTCCCTACTTATCTGCAATTAAATGTCCTGTTAAATGTGTTCAGAACATCAAAATATTTTTTACATAATTTAAAATGTATAGATATAATGTAAACCCTCTATTATATTCCAATTAAAAAAGTAACATAAGTCGTTTAGTAAGTGCTTAAAAATATTAGAAGACATGAATCAATGTTTTCATGACCCCTAGAGAAAGATAAATTAACCGAAAAATACTGTATCATATTACAGCAAATTACAATTCCAGAAAATGTTTCACTCAGTTTTTCTACAAACTTCCTGATGTTAACATATAGTAGCAGTTCTAAGGATGAGCAGGTTAAAAATTGGGGTTCAGTTATATTCAATTTTCAATGGCCAATAGATTTATCAATATTTTTGTCGACGGTTATTGTTCACAAACATGATCCAAAAATGAACTACGGTTATCAGTAATTACTGGAAATCGTACTCACTCTAAATAATGGTTTTTAGGAATGCTTAGTCCAATAACTGTTAGAGTTTGGACAGAATTATGCCGAGCAAATGCTATTTCACTCTATCTCTGGTCTTATTCATAGTGCACACAACACTGTAATTGAGTTCGTTTTTCTGTTCACTTGTCAAGTTTATTTAAAACCTGATGATATCTCAAAACCGAACACCAACTTAATCCAATTAAATTGCTTACCACTGACTTTTGTTAGGAGAAAAAATTACCCTTGATTTCAATAAGAAGTTACAAGCATGAAGCGATGATACATACTTACCGGCACAGTTAAAGGATTATTCACTTACACCGAAAGTTTTCAAAATGAAAACTAATGGATTCTGAAACACCATTTATATTAGGCTGAACATTTCGCATCTCATCGTTAGATAACTGGAACGCATGAGCACCTAAAAGTTTTACCTTACTACAAACTTTGGCTTTTGAGTTTAATTGTCTCCAAAATACTCATTCCCCTATATACAGTACCCCAAGAAGAGTGGCGTTCCGAAAATCAAAAATATCAGCTTTCCTTGTCTCAACAGTAAATAATGAAGTAAAGTGATAAAAATGTTATGAGGTTGAATTACCGGAATTCAATCTTCTTGTAAGAAAATTGGGTTTCCTGTATACCCGTGGTTTTTACCCGCGTTCTTAATACATCTTGGTCACTTGGTATGTAATCGTGCTGAGCCAGTCTGTCCAGTGAATTAAAAAAACTGTGAGTTAAATAAAACAAAATGATAAGCTTAGCTCGAAGATAATTTATATGCAGGACGATCATAAGTCTAAATAAGGGTTTTACTCAAGATTCGGTCTCCAAACAAACGCATTTAAGGTAAATTTGAAAATCAACAACTCACTGTTTTCAGTAGAGATATTTATTCCTTTTAAAAGTAGGAAATCATGAATATAAAAATTAATTGTACACTAAGTGCAAATAAATGGTTAGTTAAATCTCTTAGGTTCTTTAATCTGGTCCTTTTTCACCCAAATATTCAAAGGACTATGATATAAGTTCCAAGTTTAAAGTTCCATTTATCTTAATGTTCGTGATAAAACATACATTGTGATCTTAAAATGATGAACCACTGATTCTGATCGCTCAAACTGAAGGAATAGTTTCGGGTAAAAAATCTTTTAGTGATTAAAATTCACTTCATAATTAATAAGCTTAATTTCATTCATAATGACATTATTCACTGCTGGAAAAACAAACTTTCCGCCAAGCTGAATAATATTTTCTATCATAACTATCCTTCATAGCTAACTTCCATATCGATGATTCCAATGACTTGTCGGTAAATATGTAAATACCTCTATGATGGGTGCCTAAAAGAGTTCTTGAATAAAATTCGTTGCCATCAATTATTCAGGGAGTCAATCAAACTATTTTATAAGTCTTCAGAAGTACCTTAAATGTCATGCGAAAATCGGAAATGTCTTTCATTTATTTCAGTGCACTACGAGACTCAATATTAAATTCTTTTGTCAGCGTATACTACATAACAAAAAGACACAAAACTTGAAGTGGATAAATAGTATGTTGTGCTGCAGGTTTCTGAGTCTTACAGCCTATTGTTGAAGACACTATGCACGATACACACTGACAACCTTCATGTAGTCGTAGGCCACTTTCATGTGGTTGAAATATCGGATAAAAAAGCTTCCGTTAAGTAAAATTATATGCTGCGATTCACTGAAACGACCTGTTGCTTATTTTTTCATCACTTCTGCATACAGAGACGCTCTGCTATCCATTGATAATCGTAACAATTTGACATACTTGTCAGTTATCATTTCGAATATCTGGTTGATTTTAGAAAATCTTATCACTACATAGTAAGAAACATATTTGAAACTTCTTTTAACTTGTTGTTTGTTTTACAAAACGCTAATAAGGTGCAATAGTTGGCCAAAACAGACTATTTTGACCGAGTTTTACGCTCAAAACGAATTCCCAAATCTGACGAAACTAACTTTGGTGGTAGGGTACTGATACGGTGCTGATATTCAACATTATACTTATCATGGAGATTTTTTAATTATTTTCTGTAGACGCAATTTTATGTTGTTCTTCTTTCTGATCCTTTTATGAAATTTAGGAAGGTATTTTCATTATAAAGAGCCAGTTTTACTTTTTCACCCTATTCATCAGAGTTGGATATTATATTTTATCATCTAAAAATTTCCCAATCCTGTAAAATATTCCTCATCATTTATTTTCCGCGTTTCAGGCAATTTTTTTCTATTCATTTCAACTGCCTTTACCTGACAAAAGTACTCACTCATTACCTAACGATTTAAATGGCCAGTGTTCTGAAAGCAGTCATTTGCACAGAAAGCGTTTTATCTAAGTGCAGTATTTTGACCTCAAATTTTCATCTAAAAAAGACTCACCAAACTAGGTATTTGTAAGTCTATAGGTAGTAACCACGATGTACCTAATTACATAAAAAACAATTTTAATTTTGTTTTACACACCCTAATCAGTTACGAAAACGGCCAACCCAATTTTCTTTTGACATTTCCTGATTGATCGAATTGGTTTCTTAGAGGATTCATACACACACACCGTGCATAAAACAAGATTATTCTCTAACTCTCACATTGCACAAAGGAATACAGATAAACTTTTTGAAAATTTTAGTTGAAGAAGACTTAAATTTAAGCTTAACTAATTTGTTGTATGCTTGACAGGTCTTTAAAAAAACAAAATAATAGAACTATCAGTTAAATGGTTAGAGACAGTATTTCTCTGATTTGTCCACTGCTATTTCACTTTTGATTTACAAGCCTTTGCAACGTCGACAGGCATTTTTTGTCTAGTAGTTTAACGATAAAAGAATTTAGATTTGTATTATAATGAGAAACACTCTCAAAAGATTTAAAGCAACTGGTCCCTTTGATAAATTTAAACAGCGCAATGAGAAGACGAAGATTATCTGAAACATGTGATGTATTAGCGCTATACATTTCGAACAATCTGATCACACATGGACTTGTCGAACTGTTTATATGAAAATTTACGAAAACGTCAATGAAGTTAATGGGAATCATAGGAATAGGAAGCGATAGAAAAAAAAAGGAAAACCTTAATCTTGATATGAAAATTAAAATCAATACTACCAAGGTAGGTTCAACGTGAGTACAAATTGTTTTTGTATACATAAAGGGGGTTTAAATTTATGGATGGCAAGAGCTTCAATAAATTTAAGCACTCGGCTCTGACTACTTTTATCTAGTACTTTAAAGTCTGTTTTCATGTCTATCCTATGGTTAGTTTCTAGTATATGTTTAGCGATAGACGAAGATGGATGTTTGTCACCTGCACTTATCGGATCTGTTGAGGTCATTTGTTTTCGTAGCCACTTAGGTACATGTTCAACCTACCTTAACTGCATATCACGGTTACTCCTCAATTTACATGTATGTGTGGACACATATATAGGGAGGAGTAACCGTGATATGCATCCATCTTCGTCTATCGCTAAACATATACTAGAAACTAACCATAGGATAGACATGAAAACAGACTTTAAAGTACTAGATAAAAGTAGTCAGAGCCGAGTGCTTAAATTTATTGAAGCTCTTGCCATCCATAAATTTAAACCCCCTTTATGTATACAAAAACAATTTGTACTCACGTTGAACCTACCTTGGTAGTATTGATTTTAATTTTCATATCAAGAATAAGGTTTTCCTTTTTTTTCTATCGCTTCCTATTCCTATGTTTCCCATTAACTTCATTGACGTTTTCGTAAATTTTCATATAAATAGTTCGACAAGTCCATGTGTGATCAGATTGTTCGAAATGTATAGCGCTAATACATCATATGTTTCAGATAATCTTCGTCTTCTCATTACGCTGTTTAAACTCTCAAAAGAATTGGTTTGAAATTCACAATAAATCATTATGATCTCAAAGAATTTGTGAGTGAACTGCCAAATATTTTGAATTAAAATACTGTCCAGATTAACACGAAATGACAAAGAAAACCCAGTTAATTACTATTGTTTAAGATGTCAAACTGTTGATTGTATAATGTGAACCTTTTCATTTAAAAGCTCAACCAGCTAAATGTGCGACTTTTTAGTATTCATGCATAGTGAATATTCACTGTTGAATATATCGCCTGTGAATACTGTTTTATAAAGCTTCCCATTTTCGTTCGCTCTAACGATTACACTAACCTGATTAACAGACCAGGGTTACGGTCATGTGCATACAAGAAAGTAACTTCATGGAGTTGAATTTCTTTGATGTGCTAATATGCTTCATGCATAGTTGCTTTTCATAACGGATCACATGAATATTGGAATTATCATTAAATCTGTCTAACCCTTTTGCATATATTAAGGTATATTATGGAAGCATCATCAACCGTCGAGACAGTACGTCATTAAAAGAAAGGTTATTTTCTTTTATCGCTAATAAATTGTAATAGCAAAAAAAGTTCTGTTAACTCAAAATAAAGAACTATCGCTATGATCTGAAACAGTTTAAATATTTTTTTAATGAAGTTGTAGATAAACTAGGCTTATTAATAGAGCTCTTTTGTTTGCTGTATCATGTAAGTGTTCGTTGGTTTGATAAATCTAAAAGTAATAAAAGCATCATCTAAAAAACCTTTCGAGAGATCTAGGAATAAATTTTCGTAATAATCTATTAAAAGTGCCTTCGTTTACAATTCTATACAAACAGGTGACGAAATATCAGACTAATGAACCATAGTAAAAAGTATGTACTAGTCCTAACCGATAGCATTTGTGCAGGTAGACGGTGACCACTATGCTTAACGCATGTCAGTTATATCAGAAATAGATGGACTTCTAAATTACACTCAGAGTGATATCAAAGTAAGTTTTGTTAACATTGTTAAAAACGCATTTTTTGACGCAACATTTACAGCTATTGTATCTTATATTTGAAGTTCTTCAAATAGACGACTGGACATAACTATTTATTCTTTCTTTGGCACAACTCACAGATGAAGCTGAAGATATCTTCAAAATATATTAAAAATACCCCCAATAATATAAATAAAAAAGTGTATATTTTTATGTAAGAGTTGAAAACATTCCATGATAATGACAACTGAGGAACTCATATATTGCAAGCGCTGCAGCCAGAAACGAAGAGGGAGTGAAGAAACAAAAAATAAAAATCCAAATTCAAATATTTAAATGTAATTTCACATCACAAATAAGTTAGTTATTAAAAAGGTCTACTGTTTCGCAAAAAAAAGTCAGCAATACCCCCAGAAAGTTACTGGATAATGCACTGGTTAATCAAATAAACACTGTCAGAATTAACGTTTCTAACTTCGATGTGAAACCAACCTTAATTATCATATATGAAAATGTTTCTCTTTGAAACATTTCATGAAAATAACGATGAAGGAATGAGAAAGGTAACACTTGAATGAAACCAGTTTGTAGCACATTAGTAAACCTTTTTCCATTAAACGTCTTCAAATTTTAATTAGGTCACTTGCCCTTTTGATAGGTTACTAATTTCATTTTTCTTGCCTCTTATCTCTTATTCTGAGAGTAATGTCATTGGATTTTGATGCGACAACTACTTATAATAACTTGTTATGAATGTCATTACATTATTTGGTGTTAAGGTATTTTAAAATTCTCGGCAAGATGCTAAATTCAACTATCCAGCAAGTAATATGTCAGACTACAGTTTGTAGGAACTTGAGTCACAAATTGCTTGGACAGGGAAACCGTCTTAACGGCTGTTTTCCCTTTTGGACTATTTATTAGGCTTATCTAATAAGGTTATTACGTCACCACACTTGTGTCTAAGGGTTTTAGATTTCAGACTTTGAATAAAAGGTATATCATTATGCTTGATTGACATTTCAGTGATATCTCCCTAATCTGTCAAATGGTTTTAAATAACTTGACACTTCAGAGGTACTTGAGCGAAATGAAAGTGAAATTAATTGAGTAGTCAAAACAATTTCTGTGTCTGGTTGATCGCGGAAAATACCGTTAATGAGGTGGTGATGGGTTATCGTAAAAGCTATCTCAGTTACTTCAGGTTTCGGCAAACATTGCAGTTTGGTTTTAATTCCTGGACTATATCTTGAAGTTTGTTGAACTTGCACTTTTAAACTTAATCCAATATGGTCAGAAATCAAAACCAGAAGTTATTATGTTTCAGATATTTTGTATTTTGTATTCTATACAAACGATATGATGAACGCATCTTGAAGTTATCCTGTCACTGTTTCTCCTAATCTGACCGTCCTCCCACTCCTTATCTCTCTTCCTTTTCATCATTATTGGTTTTACTCTTTTGTTGCACACAGCGTGCAAATCATGAAAATAGAAGTGCAATCTAGATTTGCTCACTTCCAGAAACTCAAGGTTAACAAGATTCAAAATTTGGGTCGACGAAATGTTTTGAAGGTAAACGGCGTTAATCGTGTAAGTTTAAAAGAAACATTTCTTCGGCTAAGTTTCAGCAAATATTGCCTTGTTTGTTTGAACGACTGATATATTGTATAACATCTACAGGTTCATAAATGAAGTGAATACTTGATTAAAGTCTTCACTGTTGATCTTTCAGACACCTCCATGAGTAACTCTTATTTAACCATAAGAAGTTTCTAAACTTAGTTTATTCAAAGACTTACTAGGGTGCTGAATCATTTAGTTGATATTCTCTTGAACGTCTGAAGCACCGTTGCACACCCTCATCGTTCCAAAGTTGATGCAAAGCTGTGTATACTTCAGTGGATAAATAACCTTCTTCAGCCTCATGAGCACGTGCAAACAGAAGTCGTGCATCATCCTATTCAAATATATAATAAACAGTTAATATAAGCATAAGTAATGGATTTAGATATGATGCCTTCAAATAACTACTTATAGAACTTGGTATAATTTCCGACCAGCGTTTCTGATAGAAGACGAAGCTCGTTAACAAAAGTAATTAGTTACTAGAGCGCAGGGAAAAATGACTCGGATATAATTTCCTTTCTTCTTAGATAGTCAATTTTTGAATGCTGAAAAACTGTAGCTACCAGATAGGCTAATTTCCCGTTTATTTTTTACAATACCTATCGAAAGTCTAAGAGATCAAAATTTTATTAACCTATTTGATTAGATTCATTACAATTTAATACAATTAAGATAATGTTAGAAAAAACCACTGACATTCAGCACTTTGGGATTCATTTAGAAACTGATTTTATCATCAGTTTCATTGTGTTAACTGACTCTAAGATAATCATTTCCTCGTGAAACAATAATCAATAGGTCATATCTGAATAGTTTTCCTTAACGAAGTTGGTAGAGACTGACTGAATGAATGAAGATAGTTCTTGAAGGACCAAAGCGGAAATGAATTGCTATGGGTTAACAATATCATCGATTAAATCCTTGTGTAATATATATAAACAAAACAAATTCAAATATTCAAATGTAATTTCACATCACAAATAAGTTAGTTATTAAAAAGGTCTACTGTTTCGCAGAAAAAAGTCAGCAATACCCCAGAAAGTTACTGGATAATGCACTAGTTAATCAAATAAACACTGTCAGAATTAACGTTTCTAACTTCGATGTGAAACCAACCTTAATTATCATATGTGAAAATTTGTGCTCATGAAAGTCATTTATAAGCCTACTTGAGGATAGCGGTGTTGACTCATAAGGGTAGAAATCAAAACAAAATGGTAACATTTCTTGAAGAACACTTATATTTGCACAAAATTGCCTAGCATCACAAGCTGAGGGTTTTTATTTGAAATTAAGGCGACTTGTTTTCTCTTATCACAACTCAGAAAGGTGAAAAGGGTGTCGTAATAAAAATGTGTGGGAAAATGATTCTTCAAAACTACTTGCCTAGGAAAGCTGCAGTACACTAGATTTTTATTTCTTTCGAATAGGACAAAACTATTTTGACAGTAGGCGCTAAGTAAAAGTATGCTGACGTCACAAGTACAGTACAAGCAAAGATATACAAAGTAGAATTGCTTTTCAATTCTTTACATACATTGTACCATTAAAAATCACCGTATGTCTGCAATGAATTTCGCATGTCGAAATGTTACCTGCCATTCTATAAATTCTCAGTACGTGATATGGCTTTGGAACCAACCAACTATGCTTCGCAAGCATAAATGTACACTTATATATAGTTCATTGAACAAAACAAACGCTTTGTGTGCAGAAGCATTTAAACATTTTCACCTCTTTGCACCACAATGACTTTCTAAATATATAGGTCGAATTACCATATATCATTTCCGAGGCAAACAAGAACTGGGATCAGGAAATAAAATGCTTTGTTAAGAAAACTGCGTTCGAAGCGCTATTTTCCAGTTATAAGAGCCAAGATAAACAGTTCCATTGACGTCTTGCGCATATGAAGATACCTATTCCTGCAGGAAGCTAATTGTTGCCCAAGTAGCTCAGTGGTAGCGTCACTGACTGCAACACTAAAGTGACGCGGGTTTCACTCTGAGAGGGGAAATCAGCCCCCTTCGGGTTGAAAATACGCCTTACTGACAAATCCTAACAACTGTTTATTTCACTGTGAAAACAATCAAACATTAGGCAGGGAGAATGAATTCCGTCAATACTACTTAGATATTTATAAACGCTAGCATAAAGCCTTACTTATATTAAAATCTGCACTAAGACATTGGAAACTGATGAAACATTTTTCTGTGGCCAAGATGGAAACACTTAGAATCAATAAAGAGATTAAAGACTGTCAATGAGTACGAATGGTCAAAATACGCACTACACACATAGAATTGAAGTTTCTTCTGTTATATGCCTTTTGAGATGGAAAATCACGCACTCAGAGGCTAGGCATAATCGACCAGCCTGATTCCCGGGTCTTTCCTTCAAATTTATTGGATTTTTATGATTCTCATGGATCCATAAATAGATATAAATCAACCCTAGTCAGAATCTTAGGTATTTTTACTTCACTATGCAACTGCTTTGCTCACTTTCGTTTTCTGTTCCCGAAAAGTGGTGGTGACTACAAGCCCCAATATTTCATATTCTTCTAATACGAAAAAATTATCGTTCTGAAGACTTCACTTTTACAGACACCATTAGTCTTTACCTTGTATAATGTGAATCGCACGTTAACTCTTAACTACTTCGTTTGTGATCGATAAAGTTGAGGTAGTTGTTTTAGTGAACCACTTTATTAAGATGCACATGTTTTTCACTATGGAGGATTTTTTACTTGCTCCTGTTATATAAATATCAATATCTTATCTGAAAATAACCTAACTCACTAACAGTCATATGTCTTGCAAATGGGGTGTTTAGGATACTGACGGGTGTAGTAATAATACAACGAAGAGTCACTAAACTACCTTCAAACTATAGCTGTGTTCAGACGTGCAGTCTTTTATTATTAGACAGCCGAATATTTTTATTCCAGTAGTCAGATTGTCAAAACATCTATAAGTCTGTGAACAGGGAATCACCTAACATACATCAAAAGACTGGTACAGTGTTACTATATTTATTCATGTTTGCTTTTCTGATACTTTTTTGATCTATTTCACAATTCTTTTTCTATCTGCTGTCTCTTTTTGTGATGCTATGCTGTATAACGACCTGAAATGATAGACAGTGTAGGGTAAATAATTGCCTCTTTTATCTGTCTGATCAAAACTGCACAAAAAGTGCAAAGCCATTTCTACTTGTTCTGAATCCGGTAAGAAAGCAATATATTTTTGAACATTTTCATCGCAAAACACTCCCTTGACAAACCTCTGTGTAAAAGCATGAGACTGGAACCCTTATTCAAGATTCTGAATGCAAACTGAATCTGAAGAAATCTAAATGTTAAAACTGACTACTGTTTCCAACTAGCCTTCAAGTCAACTTACTAAACGCCGGACTCATACAGCTCTTGGTATTAGATATTTTCAGGAAAAGCACCAGTTTTATAAGTACCATAGTGATTTTGACCCTAGGCAATCTTACCGCGACCTAGATTTGAAGCTCATCCTAGCACATAACATGCAGGTCAGTCTGCCAAATAATGGCTAGTTCAGACAGCCTCATAACCAAAATGAAAACCGAAAAGGACAAGTTATGATAAGCTGGAATGAGTAATGCACTGAAATACGAAGCCACTGAGGTACTTATATGACAAAATCTGCGAGGATCCACTACACCCACTACAGAAGAGCAGCAGTTTGATAAAACGAATTTGACTGTCCTCTTTTTGAAATAAATCCCAGTTATTCGGAAGAATATGTAACTTGGAACTGGCTTTGAGCTGCTAAATGCAACCATTTTTAAATCCGAATTTCTCTTGACAGAAGGTTCGTTTCTGTAGAAATCCAAACTTTACCCTTTTCCGAAAAAAAAGATTCTGTCTTCCTATTTTATTTAGATGAGTTATATGACCCAAACAAAACAAATAATAAACCAAAAGTAAGAGGAATGAGTGTCAAACAAAGATGGACAAACATATATACTACTTGGAAATGATAGAAATACGGTTGAACTGGAGAGTAATAAATAGTTATGCTTATAGGAAAAGAAGTACATTTGCACCACTTAGTTACGAAAGGTATCTGAAAAAAGATGATATTCATGTCTTCTGGTCGAAACAGGACTAAAATCCCTATGCCGTATAAAAAGCCTGTCCAAAGATGTTTCACTTGATGTTCTTAACCCGCTAGACTATGACGATCTATTAGTTCTATGAGGTATTTTGTGCAACAAACCAAGTCTGACATTGGGATGAATGCAGAAATATGAAAACAGAATGTCGGGGTTTTTAAAGAAAAATTTATGTAAAATAATGGATCGAAAACATCTATTTTGTTTACTTTAGTGTGCAACCTTAGGTGACTCAGTAAATTATAAACTCAGAAATCCAAAAGCCGATTTTGGTCAAATAAACTGGCAAAAGTTAATTAGCTTGCACTGTTAGTGCAAAGTGTTAGCCTGATACCTGAAGATTTGCTTCTAATAACCTTACATCTCTATTTTGAACACAACCTTCAAACAGTATGCAACCATAAACAAAAGAAAATTTTATGTGATTATGGGGCATAACGTGACCCCGAAAGGCATGAAAACTATATAACATTACACGTCCTGTGTAATGATTTAGTTTATGCGGTTATTTGGCAACAAAATAAAAAGTGTTCTCATTTTGAATTGGCGTTCAAAGTCTTGAGTAGAAACAGCTCTAGAGAGGTATTTGTTACCTAAACGGTCTCAAAGACACAATTTACTTCCCTCTAAATCATCTCTCCAATTCAATCGCATCCATTTATCAATCAGCTGAAAACACGCAGAGGAGTTGATATGGTCAGTGTCAGTACCAAGAAGTTTCATGAGCAGCTGCAAGTACGAAAACTGACATGAAAACATACATAAAACAACTTTTGTCTCAGCCTACGCTATTTACTAACAAATCATACCTGGAATTTGCCTACCTATGCCATCAGTCGCTACGATGAGATACCAGATTACCTATAGAAAGTCGAATACATTGCATATCATTCGGTTTCATTCCTGATGCAATATTGCAAGACACATTTTGACATTAAAACATGTATAGAGGGTCAGAATGCTATCAGCTGATATCTTAAAATGTTTCTTGTCTTTGGTAGTTGCAGTTGAAAACAGTTCTACGTTGGCTAGATGATTCAGACAGTGTAGTGAGTGAACGTACACTTGATAAGACGATTTGAAAAATTTGCTTCGCGTCTCAAACCCCTATTGATGTCATCACGCAATATAATCTGTAGTAGGATAAGGTTAAAAGATAGCAAACAGGGGACAGATCAAAACACAAATATAGTTCGTAGGGGTTCTTGATGCTGATCTCTACGCCTTTTTATGGAGATGAATGTTAAACCCGCCTAAACATCCAGTTAAATTTGCCACAATATTCTTAAAACTGTGTATCATGAGTAAATAACAATTAATTTCTGTCGACAGAGAAGCAACGTAAACCAAATCTGTTTATTCAGCAGGGTTGTCTTCACATAAATTCAAAGCTCTGCATAAAAATGCTAGTTATTTGAGGTACGAAATAAGTTGAAAGGATGCAAAGCTGTACCAAGTGAGAAGACAAAAATCATGAAAATACGTTCGAACTACCATACTCAACTATTTAAAAGCTGTTATCAATAAAAACCTGCGTCTCCAACCAACAGCACTATTGTAAACATAACTATCGTTATTACTTTTTTTGTGGCCCACTATTTAAATTTCTTCACAGACAGTAGTCTTCCGAATCATATACATATATATATATATATGAGCGCATAGCTTGAGAACAAATTTTTCTAGTCTGCTTTCTTAAGCTTTATGTTGCTGATGTCACTAAAGAAGTTATGAAATCCTAATATATTGCATTTTAAGGCCATTCCTCCAGTATTCACTCATGATCTCCATAGCTTTGAGGCGAGCTCTTAAGCCTTTCCTTCGACTTGTCTGCAGGTCAACTTCGCTGACGCATATTCAAAGGCACAAATTAATTTTTTGATCTTACTTTCAAAAAGCACTGTAGACAACTGGAAACTCAAAAAGTATGTCTACTGAGGTTGAATCGTTTTCTATGAACAAGAATACAGATGAATAACAAAGTAGACATCCGAGCGATTTCTGGAATGTAATACACTATTCTGTTAAACTTTCAGTTGGTGTCATTTGATATTCTTTACTTTAAACGGATATTTAAAACCAAAGAGAAACCGTATTATGACTTGTAGCTTATTTCTACTAGCACAAGCACCGTATGATTTTGATTTTAACCTGTTTACCGTATCATTCGCAATGACTGCCAAGTACATAGGCCAAAGCAGTCGACCAGGGTCGATTAGAATAACAGAGCACAGAAACTTAGCTTAATCAAGATTAGTAGATCCTAATAAGATAAGAAGTCTAGAGAAAAGCTCGGCTATAGCTCTACATGCGATGACATACAACCACAAAATAGGGTGGGATAGGGCGACAGTGTTGAAAACTGACTTAGTTGGGTGGAGGGAGAGATTGATAACCGAGTCTTTGTTTATCAAATCAACACCAAATAAATGAAATCGAAATGATTCTACACCTGTCTCAGGTATGTGGAAAATTCTACTACCCTTGTCATCTCAGAGAAGGAGAGAAAATTAGGAATAAATAAAGTCTGTCTCAAAGTTGTGGAGTTACCTGACATGAATATGGACAATAAATTGTGTCCGTAACGTTATCCACTAAATGCTACTATTTCACTGTGTGATATTTTTCTAATAAACAGACTAAAATGGAATTACGATAAACCACAGTGCCCAAGTTTTACTCCTATATTAACCTGTATTCTGCCTTCTCAACAGGAGTGGAAGCTTTATCTGATGGCTAAAAACACTAGAAATGAATGTAAGGAAAAATCTCTCTTTAAAATTGATGTTTGGATACAGCTTTGTGGTCAGTGGGAATGTTTCGCAACCAACTTCCAATGCTAATCTTCGTCAGTGGCGGAAACAGAGCAAAGGACTTTAATGTAAATAGAAAGCCAAAATCTAAGGCATATTCTGGTGCAAATAAGTAAAATGTATTGAACAAGTAATTAATATGGTTTTAAGACTACGTGGCCTAGACTGACTAGCCTTGCTACTTAAGGCACTCGTATGTTAGTGGTTACCTTAGAAGGAAGTCAATACCCAAGATTTTTAAGACCTCACCTGGAAGACTGTCGGTATAACTTAGGACATTTTTTGCGGAGAATTGTGGTCCTTCGAAAACTTGGGCTCATTTTGAAGCTTTTGAAGATTTAAAAGGGTTCTGACTCCGAAATTCAAAATTACTCACTGTGGCTAATTGAGTGAACTCATATTAGGATGCAGCTGCTAATGAATCAATACTATAATCTCGGACATAAAAAATAAAGAGCGTGGTAGTTTCTGAATTGCAACAATATTTGGTAAGTAATCCGACCGTAAAGAATGTGATAAACCATAGAACTCACTATTCTGCTTTCGTTCTCAAAATTGATATATAAATGACCCATAGCTCGTATGATAGCTATCATACTCTGAACTGTATTACTATAAACAACAGGTTTGTATAGTAAGCATTCCTCTTGGGTGTAACTGGACTGATGAATTATTCTACAGGACAATTATAAATGATAAACCCATGTTACTTTAGTTGCTTTAATATAGTACTTTTCCCTGACTCTCCTGCACCTTAAAAAATGTATCAAACATTAAACCATTAGTTTTCATTACCAAGTAGTAGGAGCTTAGCCACCCTTGCCATCTTTTCACCGTCACTTTTAAGGGATGCATCGATCCTCTTAGATCGTTCCACAGCTGCTTTTTCGTCAATGCTCATCAAACAACCCATCACGGAATCTCATTAACATATTTAAGATTTGACTCTGAAAGCCATTGAGATTGAAATTCAATGTAAATTCAATATCCAATATTTGTATCACTAGTTTGTGTCGACCACCCGATCTGTTTGTGCATGCTAATGGATCTTTTGAAATGTTTCGAGACCTCTAGTTGACTCTGATGCCACATAACCAGCTACTGTTATGCTTCAGCTGTGACAAACTGATTCGTGGTTTCTTATTGACTAAATATGTATGTAGACCCATGTTTAGTCCTAAGACTGTGATGAAAACGAATTCCTTGAATGTCATATCAACTGATGGTTCTTTGTCCTGGCTGTGAGGGAAAGGCAGTGAGGTTTGAAAGACAAGCAAGGAAATATGGTGAGAGAGAAGGGAAGATAAGTAAAATGCGAGGAAAAGTTTAAGTAAATTCAGAGAGGACGACAGAAGAAAATCAACTAAGAGGTTTAAACTAAAGATAGTAAGAGAGAGCGAGAACCATACTGTGGATAGTGGAAGTGTAAATATTTATGATATGTTAACTTGAAAGGTAAGACGTCTAATTGAGGGATAAGAGATTGAATTGTGCCCGTAATAGCCGCGGCGACGGAGCAGAATCAATGTCCGGGTCACAGAAAGTGTACCAGTTGGTTGCCACTGTTCCAGTGCCATGAACACAATCCACGTGTCACAGCGTAGCTGTCCGACCTTCTCCTGAAACCATAGTCACCTGGAGTGGCGGCCATCTTACGATATAATGGGTTTCGGTGGCCGCAGGCTTGGAGAATAAGCAAGTGCGATCTATCACTAAAATCTTTATTTCTTCGCATCCACTTCTATATCCTGTGAAATGGATCAGGGTCTTGAATGGATTCCGAAACAAATTTTTCAGCAACTTGCTCCTGGTATCTCTGAAAATCGAGTTTACGGCTCGATGTTACAAAAATTTGGTAGAATATCTATGGTTTATTCCTGCACTGGGATTCTGCTGGGATTTCTAAGTTTCTCTTCGCCATTTGGAGCAGTCGAAATAAGATAAGAATATTTGGGAGACAAATAATGGTAGAAAATTCGGGAGATAAATGGAGGTCAGCACCAGTTACGTCAGAAATGAAAATTTTTAATTCATGACGGTTTAAGCTTGATATTTTTTTGAGATCGTAATGTTCCTGCGACTAATGGAGTCTTTTCTGCCTACAGGAGCTTGACTCAGGGATGTAATAGCTTGCCGTGGGGTTCATACATTTTGTTAGCACGTTGCACGTGGTTGCTCATAAGACAAAACGTTTTCTCCATCACCTGTGTGGAGGCAGAATGGATCCAAGCAAAAAGGTGTGGGTGTGGTTTAGAAATAAGGATGGCTAACGTATATTAGATAAGTCAAAATTATATGACAGTGGTTAAACGTACGCTGTAATTGTTGTTGAGAAACCATATTATCCAAAGTTTTCGTAGAAAATTACTTTGGAAGACTGCTTTGGGAGAGCCGCTGCATTGCAGTAAACTCCGCGGGATGCATAACCTGAAAAAAATTAGTCGGATCTTTTCATTGTGTCAACTATTTGAAGTGCAATTCCATTGGCATTGTAGCGTCACACACTTCCCCAAAATCAATAGCCTAGGGTTCGACGACATTCAGCATTGATCCTGACCTTGATAGTTTAACTAGACTCGCTAGGCTGAAGGCATCCGGTCAAGCATTTTCGCCATTTGGCACGCTGTCGTTACGTCGATTTCTGTCCCTAAACGTGACAAGTTATTTAGTTCCTGTTCTGCTAACTCGCTCGATAGGGTTATAATAAGGCTTAAGCTGGAGAGGTGTTACCGTAATAAGATTTAGGGCACCAAGTAGCTCACACAGGAAAGGTGCGGCCATGTTTTCCTTATCTACCATTCACTCGTATTTGGAACTATGGACTGATCTGCCGAAGCAGCTGAGACTCAGGCGCTTCTTGGTAGAGGCCTACGTCAAATCACGGTCCCTCGGCTTGTATTTGCCCACAGTGGCTTCCGTGGTTGTAAAGGATCATCCATTTACGTTTGTTAATACTGGAGCCAAGCCAATTCTCTAGCGTTCAAGATTCTGGCTATGCAAACCTCTTATATAGCAGTTTAGAATATTCTTCTCCGCCACCAGCTCTACATACTTTTCATGTAATCCACAAAGATTTGTGGGGGTGACGGGATTTTTATGGTTAGGTTGTTTACGCTAGGATTGCTGCCTGTGGTGCAGTGGAATTTGATGGCCACCATGTGGATCCCATTCAATGAACAGTTGTCATCACGAAATTATTTCGCTTTTCAACTATTTATCTTTGGGTTGCAACATTTCATATAACTTCAGACTGCACCTTATGACAGAAATTTGTTAGCTTCCTATGCGGTTGAAAATGCTCTTTGAAAAAGTAAACAGGCACCACGTGATTTCACGTAACTTGTGTGGAATGAAATATAGTTACTAAGTGTTTTGCTTTTAATATGTTTAAATATTCAACCGTGGTACATAAATACCGAAGGGTTCCAATATACGGCGAAAATTTGCACCGGGGGAGTACTCAAGAAAGACACTTAATTCTAAGCTAACCTCCATGTTAATGAACATTTTGCCTCAAAGGCAGTCAAGTTTCTTGAGCACATGTGATACGTGATGGGTCATCAGTATTACATATATGAGGTATCCGTTCGATGAATGATGGTTGTGTGATCGACCCATATGCACATATCTATACATATATACACTACTACTGACATCATTACGGAAGAATATGCTTAGTTTCTTGACAGCGCTAGACACAAATGATACAAGGACTTTCCCAATTCGCTCTCCAGAAGCTGGAATAGTTGAAGCACACCAGTAAGCGAATATTATAGTTGCGCCCTTCATGACTGCAGGGGAAAGGTCTGTGCGACGGGATAAACGATTTCAAAATCCCGCCTAGGCACTATCCGACAGTATTTAATATCTGAATGTTTTTACCCTTAACATGGATACCATCCTTTAACCCTAACCGATACAATACTATTTTGTCATTTGCCCGCCTTCTTTGACATAACACTCTTTAGTTGCCTTGGTTTTGATCGAGACTTATACTTACGCGCTACTCACGAGCGTGACGTGACTTCTCTTTCCTCTCGTGGTCAAGGGGGTTTTTTTCTACTGCTATCCGCCTCCCAGAATAATCCCGAATCTAATGAGGGCGTGTATCTATCTCTCCGAGTTCTGCAAATCTCAGACCTCAGGCAACGTAAAGTAGCACTGAACCTGTCTTTCAAACGTTGAAGTTACCTGGATCTATCTAGACTTCAAGGTAGCAGAAAGTTTGACAGTGTCACCCACATATCGAAAAATACTTGAAAGTCAGCGAGGAAAGTTATTGTTGTTGCCTAACTCATGACTCTGTTGATGTCAACTGATATTCAGTATCTGTTATTATTCAACTCGTTTATTATTTGTCTAACATTATTTATATTTTTGACACTTCTTGCTCGCTTTTCTGGGAATAAAACAAGTGTCAGCGGTGTCAAACAGCCTCCACCAAGCTTGTGGTCACGATTAGTGCAGTACAGAGTATAACCATCTATACACAGGTCTGTGTCTAGGATTGAGTCAGTGCACCATGATTCAGTAATTAATAATGCTGTGGGCTTGGCTAGCAAAACTATTGTTCTAAGATCGGACAGTTTCTTAAGTAACGAGCGGGCACTGATAAGTAGAAGCGTGAAAAGGCTACTATGGCCCGCAAAGTAAATTACTATGTCTCCCAAGCCTTGGTAAGCGGAAGAATTTCTGGTATTCAGTTCGCTAGACGGTGCACCACCTATGTCTCGGACGTGACAGGAGTCAACAGTGGGGTGTGCCGGTGTGACCGGTGAGTTTCTGCCTTTCACAAGTATATGACTGCTCAGTTTTTCACAGCACCTATAGGTTGTTAACGTGCACCTCTTCTTTACCGTTGGCGCAAGGTATGGTTTACGACCGGCGTAAGTCAACGAAGTTGATTCCAGCCCTCTGGTTATCCGCATGAAACCCTAGACTTCTTTTACAAGGTTATTGGTTCCTGTTAGGACAAACTCGCGCCTGTCAAACTTGTATTAAAACCAACAGCCCAGGTTGCTGGTCGAAAAACCCGACTTTAGTTGAGGAAATTAAGGAGGAAATACATTTTCTTGAAGGAACTTGGCGCCCTGCACAGAATCCAAGCATCGTTTATGTAATTTGAAGAAAGCCAGAGCGACAACTCTCGTTGAAGATTGCAAGGGTAATGATACCTGATCCGAAGCACATAAACATTGCCGTATCTTGTGAAAGTGCAGCGAAAACACCCAAGACTACCCAGGAAATTATTAAGAATACGGTGACGACTTACCACGTTCGTCTGGTGATCCGTGAAGTCCTCAGTGAGTGGTTTCTTGATAGTATAACATAATCCTGGCTCCTGACACTGAGATAACCAGCACAAGTGGTTTAACGGTGGGTAGCATAAATTTTAATGTAAGTAACACTTAAAATATAATTAAAATATCAAAATCAAGTGTAAGCTATGAGGAAGGTGAGACGTCGTCAATAACTTACAAAACAGCTGCACCGGAGCTGCAGTAAAACCGCTCAAAATATTTGCTCTGTATTTAGGTTCCAGAACCTCTGCTGACAAACACAAAGGCACTCATACATTGCCAAAAAAGGGAGGGTTCAGGACCGGCGTCAATAATTGCAGACTGACGGACATAATCTCAGTCACTTCACCACTCAGGAAGGCGATTTTAAAAATGTCAAACTACCTGTCGGAATCTGACCACAAAAACTGGTGGCAAAATAGCCTTCTAAGAAGGTGGTCATGGACCACCAATCTCTTTGTATTTTTCGACGAGGTAACCTGCAAAAAGGGTCAGAGAGAACCACTGGTACTTCATCACTTCGGCGTCGTTAACGCCTGCGACACGGCCCCACACAATTTGCTTGTTGATATTCTAGACTACTTTGGGGTCTCTAAACCAGTCGGGTTCGTTA